ACCTAGGAGAGGAGGTCATTCTGACTTTGCTATGACAATCTGGCGCTTCTGAATCAGCGACTGTTGTTGCGTAGCGTGTGTGTGTGTGTGTGTGAGAGAGAGAGAGCGGGAGAGATATTGTGTGTGTGTGTGTGTGTGTGTGTGAGAGAGAGAGAGAGAGAGAGAGAGAGAGAGAGAGAGGGAGAGAGAGAGAGATTATTTTCATTCGAAAGTTTTATTAATTTTGTTGTGTCTTTACTATTTTTATTCATTTCTTTTCTTTTGAAATATGTCTATATAGTTTTTATAAATTTTATTTCCGCTTTAGTACATCAGGTTAAACTAAATAAAAATTTGAAATGGCAACTAGCTGAATTAAAATAAGTTTTTAAAATATTATGTTATTTCAAGCAACATTTTCTTATGGTTTTAGTTAATTATAACAACTCTGACCTAATGTATCATTCAAATGTCAGTCTCATTAAAAATAGATTTATTTAAATTCTAAAAAAAAAATTCATATAAAATAAAATTATTAAAAACTTTTTTTAACAGATTTAATAAACATATAAATAGATATACATTTAGTTAATTTAAAAATAAATCTATGATATAAATAAATATTTTACTTAAAAAATAGAAAATGATGAATTTAAACTCTTAAGTATGCAGGTATGAAAATATCTAATTTTCTTCATTTAAGATATATATATACACGATATATATATATATATATATATATTCCCTAACCCTAATATAGAAGAAGAGGTTAAGTAAAAATATGATGAGCATGTAATATAGTGCATATGTTTATCAAAATGCTCCTCTCCAGATATTTTTTTCTAGCTGACTATCAAGTTTATGGTCACCAAATGTCTTTTCTGAAGTAAATGTGATGTTATGTGACATTATTGATCTCATGCTGTTTTACTGACGTCTTTCCACAGCTGAATCACTGATTGATGGATAACATGATTCAGGACTGATTTCAGTGAGTTGTTCTGTTTCTTCTGCTGTTTATTTGCTGCTATAACTAGTAGTAAAGAGGAAGAGATGATCGCTTCACTCCAGCATCTGTCACAGTAAAGAGCCACAAATTGAATTGAGTGATAAAACTGACAGAATTTGAAAGCTGAGACTTTGTGTCATATCAAAAAGCTTATTGTGATTTATTGAATGGGAGGCGATACAAATAATGTTTGACAGACAGGCAGCAGCTAGTGAGGCTGGGAAAATACACATCCAGCACCCGTACGATCAGCACTGGAGCTATTTATTTAAATAAAATAAAAAAATTTCATATAAAATAAAATTATTAAAAACTTTTTTTAACAGATTTAATAAACATATAAATAGATATACATTTAGTTAATTTAAAAATAAATCTATAATATAAATAAATATTTTACTTAAAAAATAGAAAAACAGATGAATTTAAACTCTTAAGTATGCAGGTATGAAAATATCTAATTTTCTTCATTTAAGATATATATACACGATATATATATATATATCCTAACCCTAATATAGAAGACGCTCGCGGTGTTTTCAGCTTCTGCCGTCTCACTATATGATGATATGAACACGAATGTCATCTCCAGCTGCTCTGAGAGTCACTTCATTTTTTTTTAAAATCGAGAATCGAGTCGAATCGGGACATCTGAATCGATACCCAGCCCTAATAATGACGTAGAGCAGGTGTACATCAGGAAAGCTCTGACCTGCTGCTGTGCGTCCAGGCCGCCTCCTGATGCCGGCCGCTGCGTGTCGTCGGTCTGCGCTCGTTTGGATTCTGTGTGCGACTGCTCCGATTCTGAGCCTGGATCCGTCGTCATGGCCAGTTACACTGAAACGACACAAGCAGATATATTCAGGGTGCCAATCTTTAGACATTTCACAACTGCACTAGACTGCTTCTTGACTGGAATGAGCCGTGTGTTAATGTGCGAATCGGAGCACAGGAACACGCGGGAGTTTATATTTAGCGTCATGTTTACGCTGTATTTTTGAAAGCACAGGGACTCCAAGAACGCAGCAGGAATGACGGACAGGAATCACAGACACACGCCTGACATTCACACTGCAGTTAAGAAGAGCGTGTTCCGTTACGCAACATGCCAGCTAAAGCGACGCTGCTGTGTTTATCGGTGACGATCAACAAGTCGCTGAAGATTCAGTAACAAGCAGCAACACTCAAACACACTGACAAACACTCATCTGTGACACATGGACGGTTCAGGGCGAGACGAGCTGTCTGACTGACCAATGACAGACAAGGAAGTGGTTAAAAAAAAACATTTAGCAACCCCTCAGAACACCCTAGTAACCTCACAGCAACAAAAATATTTTACAACCCCCTTAGCAACCCTAGTAACCAGAATTTTCTGCAACCAACCTAGCAACTTCTCAGAACACCCAAGCAGCCCCTTAGCAACCACTCATAACACTGTAGCAACCACACAGCAACCACTCAGAACACTCTAGTAAACCCCTAGCAACCAGATTTTTCACAACTGCCCTAGCATCCTCATATCAACTACTCAAGAAACCCCTTAGCAAACACTCACAACACCCTAGTAACCAGAATTTTCTACAATCACCCTAATAACCACTCAGGACACCCTAGTAATCCCATAGCAACCACTCAGAACGTCCTAGCAACAATAATTTTCTGCAACAACCCTAGCAACCCCATCGCAACTACTCAGAACACCCAAGCAACCCCATAGTAACCACTCAGAACATCCTAGCAACCAGAATTTTCTGCAAGCACCCTAGCAACCATTCAAAACACCCTAGCATCCCCTTAGCAACCTCTCGAGAAAATGAGTAACCAGAATTTTCTGCAACCACCCTAGTAACCACTCAGGACACCCTAGCAACCACTCAGAACATCCTAGAGACCTGAATGTTCTGCAATCACCCTAGCAGCCCCATAGCAACTACTCAGAACACCCAAGCAACCCCTTAGCAACCACTCACAACACCCTAGTAACACTATAGCAACCAGAATTTTCTGCAACCACCCTAGTGACCATTCAAAACACCCTAGCATCCCCTTAGCAACCTCTCAAGAAAACGAGTAACACTAGCAACCAGAATTTGTTATTTTTTAACCACTCAGAACACCAGAATAACTCCACTGCAAACACTCAGAACATCCTAGCGACTCTCTAGCAACCATAATTTTCTGCAACCACCCTAGCAACCCCTCAGAACCCCACAGTGACCCCATAGCAACCACTCAAACATCCAAGCAATGAGAATTTTCTGCAGTAACCCCGCACAGCAACCACTCAGAACATCCTAGAGACCTGATTGTTCTGCAATCACCCTAGCAACCCCATAGCAACTACTCAGAACACCCAAGCAACCCCATAGTAACCACTCAGAACATCCTAGCAACCAGAATTTTCTGCAAGCACCCTAGCAACCATTCAAAACACCCTAGCATCCCCTTAGCAACCTCTCGAGAAAATGAGTAACCAGAATTTTCTGCAACCACCCTAGTAACCACTCAGGACACCCTAGCAACCACTCAGAACATCCTAGAGACCTGAATGTTCTGCAATCACCCTAGCAGCCCCATAGCAACTACTCAGAACACCCAAGCAACCCCTTAGCAACCACTCACAACACCCTAGTAACACTATAGCAACCAGAATTTTCTGCAACCACCCTAGTGACCATTCAAAACACCCTAGCATCCCCTTAGCAACCTCTCAAGAAAACGAGTAACACTAGCAACCAGAATTTGTTATTTTTTAACCACTCAGAACACCCGAATAACTCCACTGCGACTCCACTGCGACTCGAACATCCTAGCGACTCTCTAGCAACCATAATTTTCTGCAACCACCCTAGCAACCCCTCAGTTTTTGAGTTTTCTGCACTCAAACATCCAAGCAATGAGAATTTTCTGCAGTAACCCCGCACAGCAACCACTCAGAGCACCCTAGCAACTGTTCAGCACTGCTTCATAAGGGCCTGATGTGTGAGTGGTTTGTAATCTCTCTTCAGAGGCGTGACAGTGATGGAAACCATCGGCGGATTCTGGATAGCAGCCGTGGAAAACCGCAGGAATAGCTGCGACTGCATTCTGTCAGACTGACTCCCTGAACTTTAACGGCCTGGTGCAGAAATGTAGGTCAGACTGAACCGCAGGAACAAAACGAGCGAACGGCCCTCCAGATCCGCTCAACATCCCAGAACAAAATAAGAGATGCTGATGTTTCTTTCCTATTCTCTGAGAAACAGATGAAACCCTCATGAATAATGATGAAGAGCTACAGTGGCCGTGCTGTGATTATATGCGCAACTACAATGAAAATCACTCTGGAACTGAAAGTACGAGCGCTTGAACACAGGTGGCTAAAAATAGCTGAAGAAAAACATACCAATGAGTTCCACACGGATGAATGCATGCCGACTTAAAAACGAATGGATTTGAATATAAAAAACACTTAAAGGGGCAGAATGCATTAAAAGGGACAAAAATAAACAGCAACATTAATTAAAAAGTCTCATCTTGACTTATTTGGCTCACATTCTGCTCTGTATGTTCACATGAAATACTTCTGTTAGCTGCCTTCTTTCTTCATATCTGAAAACGATTTTGATGCAAATACATTGATATCTGTTCATAAATTCAGAAGGGCAGCTTACAGTTCACTCACTTTCTGGAATATTTCAGGAATTTCCCTTCAGGGAGCAATAAAACGCATCCATATATCCAGTCAGAAACACACTGAGCTGTGAAATACGCACATTTCTGAAAGCCTTTACACCAAATCCTCCGTCGCTCTCAACAAGTGTGTAAAACCTGTCCAAACAGAAGACCCCGGAGACATACGACCCGTCCTGAAACCCATTAACTATGCACAGATGGGTTAAACCTTCTTAAAGGCTTAACTTCCACCCCATCGAAACGAACGGAGAGGCAGTCTGAGCCGTCTGTGAGCAGATAACACAGAGTTCAAGGGTTTGTTTGAGTTAATTCCCTTATTATTCAATCTCACATTGAGCTTCACAAGAATGACCGACTGCATACTGTAAATAAACAAAACACTGGTTATTACTTCAAAACTAATAATTACACACCACCGGTCAAAAGCTTGGAATAGATTTTCTTCTGCTCACCAAGGCTGCATTTATTTAATCAAAAATACACTGTGAAATAGTATTATAATTTAAAATATCTGCTTTCTATGTGAATCTCTGCTAAAATGTAATTTATTTTTGTGATCAAAGCTGAATTTTCAGCATCATTACTCATTAGAAACCATTCAAAAGTTTAGAGTAAGATTTGTAATACTTTTTAGCCTATATATTCATCAAGGATGCATTAAATTTATCAAAAGTGACAGTAAAGACTTTATAATGTTACAGAAATAAATGCTGTTCTTTTGAACTTTCTGTTCATCTGTGAATCCTGAAAAATGAAATGCATCACAGTTTCCACAAAAATATTAACTGTTTTCAACATTGATAATAATCAGAAATGTTTCTCGAGCAGCAGATCAGCATATTATACTGATTTCTGAAGATCATGTGACACTGAAGACTGGAGGAATGATGCTGAAAATACAGCTGCACATCACAGAAATACATTACAGTTTAACACATATTCACATAGAAAACAGCTGTTTTAGATTATAATAATATTTCACAGTTTATCTGTATTTTTGATCGAATAAACGTAGCCTTGTTGAGCAGCAGATTATGAAAAGTATAACTTATAGGCTAAACATTCCAGTCTACAGAACCCAACTCATATGAGGTGTCTGTGGTGTAGTGGTTAAAAATCTGTGCTGGTAATCAGAAGGGTGAAGGTCGAGTCATAAACTACCATCATTAAGCGGGAAACTTACTTCAACCTGCAATAAACATACTGCAAATCAAGTTATACAACACATTTCTGAAGAAACTTTGCCCACACACACACTCTCACACTCTCACACACACACGCTCACACTCACACACACACACACACTCACACACACACACACAC